AATGGAAGATTTCTTATGAGAACCCGAAGTTAAACGTGCTCAGTGTGGAGTACAACAAGGATGGGTGACCTTATGTGAAGTCACCCTGAATTGCACCCCAAGTCGAAATCCGTGCGGGTGTAGAGGCCCAAAGCGGACAGTATCTTGTCGGGAAAAGGTTCGGGATGTTACAAGTGGTATCAGAGCCTCTTCGCGTCCCTCTTGAACGATGGTGGGGCAAACCTCAACTAGGGCGTTGAGTCCCGGGGGGGGGGGGGGGTATATAACACCTTAGGCGAATCCCACATCGACAAAGCACATGAGAAATCCATGGTTCATAAGTAAGAAACCAACGTTAACTGACAAGACGCGTTTTGGGGTGTAATGGAAGAGTTCTTATGAGAACTCTGAACTTAAACATGCTTAGTGTGGAGTACAACAAGATGGGTGACCTTATGGAAGTCACCATGAATTGCACCCAAAGTCGAAATTCGTGCAGGTGTAGATGCCCAAAGCGGACAATATCTTGTCGGGAAAAGTTTTGGAATTTTACAGTTACGTACCATATCACCCCACATATTTATTGGTGATTGCATTCCACCTAACTAACATCATAAGACGTCTATAGTTGTTTTTCCTTATCGAAAAAAACAGCCTATAGTTCATTTCATCTTTTTTTTTTTTAACCAGCAACTATTGTTAAATAATGTTAATTGATCATGCAAGTGGGAAAATAGTTGTTGATGCTTTTCAATACGCGCCAGTAACCAATTTTGCCAACTTCATCATAGATAAACACAACGGGTTAAGCTTACAAAAAAAACATTTATATATGGTTGGCTTCTCTCGTATTTTGAGTAAAATTTAATTTATGATATACCCTGAGTTAGAAAATATTATTTAGAACTCGAACTAACCAAATTTTTGGGTATGATATTATACCCTAATCCTTGATGGGTGAACGCTAGGTTTTAGTTATTTGAATCATGTGATTTGTTGCATAAATTTTGATGAATCATGACGGCCAATTTTTGTTTCTTACTAAATTGATCTTAGTGTATGAGATTTATAGAACTACGACATAAAATTTAATCTATAAGAGTAAGTGAATAGTACCAGATGTCAAACTCCAGTCAATTCAAGGTCTAGATATAATTTTCTTACTCAAGGCATGTCATACCTTTGATTTTACCCAATGTGCGATATAACCACTCTCAAATATATATATAGTAAACCTTGGTACTCCAAGTGGTCTGGCAGTTAGACATACTTCGATGAGTTCCGACCTTTTTAATAGTCATTTTCTATTAAATTGAGCTTTGTGTTCTAGTTTAGAGAATTGGGTCTGGAATTTATCTATTAGAGGTTAGAGTATAGTATCATACCCGAAATTCGGTTTAATTCGTCATCTAAATAAAGACATTCATAGAAGTATCTAGAGTATAATATACTCTAAAAGTACATTGATATATATATATATGGTTCTGGCTAGGGTACGCCCGGGGCGTACGCTTTGAGTTTTGCTATATAGATCATGAATTAACCGGAGTTTGGGGCATGATACTATACCCTAACTTCTAATGGGTAAACCCCAGTCCCTAATTTTCTAATCCAAACCATGAGATTCGTTTAATCTTAAAATGAAAATCAATGAAAATTTCGACGAATCAGGATCGTTGATTTTCATTTTTAAGATTAAACGAATCTCATGCTTTGGGTTAGTGAATTGGGGACTGGGATTCACACATTAGGGGTTAGGATATAGTATCATGTCCCAAACTCCGATTAATTCTTTGTCTAAATAGCAAAACTCAATTGGGCGTACGGTAGGCTAGCGTACGCCCGGACGTAAGCTAGCATTATATATATATATATATATATATATATATATATATATATATATATATATATATATATATATATATATATATATATATATATATATATATATATGGGCAGTTCTATCGTACCTTGGATAAAATCTAGGGTACGGTATACCTTGAGCAAGAAAACACTATTTGGATCTCGAATTGACCAAAGTTTGACATCCGATACTATTCACAAACCGATAAAGATTAAAATCTAGGTATTAATTCTATAAATCTCATACATCAAGATCAATTTAATTAGAAACCAAAATCGACGGTCATGATTCATCGAAATATATGCAACAAATTACATGCACAATCTTAGGGGTTTACGCTCTATGATTTTGAAAACTGAGACCTAGTGTTCACTCATCATAGGTTAGGGTATAGTATCATGCCCAAAAATCTGGTTAATTAGAGATCTAGATAGCGTTTTTTACTCAGGGTATGTCGTATCCTAAATTTTACCCAAGGTACGATAGAAGCCACCATATATATATATATATATATATATATGGTTGGCCGGCCCCAAGCCCAACTATCCGAAATTAAATGAATTTCAATAAGTATATATATTGAAATTCATTTAATTTCGGATAGTTGGGCTTGGGGCCGGGCAACCAAACTAGAAAGGAATTTTGTTTGTCTAGTTGAAGGACACAAACATGTCTGCATGTCTCCACCTCTAGCCTCGGTCTCATCTTATAGCACTGATTGATTATGTGCCCTGGTGTTCTGTGAGAGATTCTTATTCGTGATAAATATGAATCCAATTATATATTCTTGAATTACAACTACACATATATAGTGCTCTAATTATTTATATAGTTGAGTTACTTTCCGATGCTTTTTCTTTCTGAAAGTTGATAAGACTGAAATGGGTTTTATTTATGTGAGCATATGTGATTGAGCATGATTAATCACAAGCTGACATATAATAATGAACCTTGTACATGCACTTGAAGTAAGTTTAAGACATTTTTGCATATAGAAGTTCATTATAAAAAATAAGAGCATAGAATTAATACAACTTTAGGAATATATCCATATAAGGTGCCTTCTACCGTACTTTGAGTAAAATCTAAGTTATGGCATACCTTGAGTAAGAAAATAATATTTAGTTCCTCAATTAACATGATTTTATGGCATGATACTATACACTAACCCTTTATAAATGAATCCTAAACACTAAGATGGAGCATATAGTTTGTTGGTTGTATCTTGACAAATCACGATCGCCGATTATTGTTTATAAATAAATTGATCTTAGTGTAGGAGATTTATAGAATTAAGTCCTAGATTTTAATCTTTAAGGGTTTAGGATGTATAACCATGTCTCATACTTTGGTTAATTCAAGGTCTAAATTTCATTTTCTTACCCAAGGTATGTCGAAGTTTCGATTTTTCTCAAGTTATGATAGAAACATCAATATGTATATATAGGAGCTCGTCGAAGTGCATGTAATGGTCAGATCACCTAGAGTATATTATACTCTTCGAGTATACCAGTCATTGCTATATATATGGATGGTTCTATCGTACCTTGGGCAAAATCCAAGGTATGACATACCTTGAGTAAGAAAATGATATATGAACCTTGAATTGACTAGAGTTTGGCATCTGGTACTATTCTCAGTTGAATACAATTTAATAAGAAACAAAAATCGACGGTCATAATTCGTTGAAATATATACAAAAAATTATGTGCACAATATTAGAGGTTAGACTCTATGATTTAGATAGCTAAGACTTAGGGTTCACCCATCAAGGATTAGAATATAGTATAATGCCAAAAAATCCGGTTAATTCAAAGTCTAGATAATATTTTCTTTTCTAATGCTAATGCTAATGCAATTGGAATTGGAAAAGGAAAAGATGATCGATCAGACATGTCTACAGTGTAAGATATAAATAAACCCTTTCAATAGATTATAATTATTCTCTCTGGTTATTAAAAGCAAAAGGTGCACCGTAGGTGGTGGTTTGAGAGGGCAATGGACAAAGCAAATTTGGGGCTGCTAATTCTTTTTCCATTTTTGGCACTCAAGTTTTTGCCTTACATGGAAAGGGGAACAAACCACACAGAGATCACTAAAAGGGGTGGGGAAGGATCGAATATGGTATATAATGGTGGTAGTAGGAGCCCAATGTAGAAAAGCAAAAGGAAGATTCTTCATTATTTTTCCCTCATGATCATTCCATCTACATATTCTCCAAAACAACCCTCAACCTCTAACACACATACTCTCTCTCTCCAAATGTTATAGCACTAGCATGCTTAATTACATGGGATGATCACCTCACATGTTTAACTATTGGACATGTGTTCCGAATTAACAACAATATTAAACTAATTGAACTATAGAAAGAATAAACTACCATAATATTTAGGGTTCTGAATGATTTAAGCTACTTTAATATTTGAAATCCACTGCAAAATGTTCTAACGAGACGATCATATAAATAGATTAATTAGAAGTTAGGATCATAATGATACATTTCTCTACATCCATCTTTGTGTCCTCGCCTAATGAAGACCCTATTTGAGTACTCATAACGAACATTTTAAACTCAGGAAAATGTTAAATTATGTGTAATACTCGATTAATATGCAACACTAATGTTACTTGGGCCGGTGATCGTCGAGTCTGACTGTCAATCCCTGGTGAAGATGTTGAAGAATGGGGATGAAGATTTTACTGAGTTGGGGGTTCTGTGTGATGAACTGAGGAAGCTAGCATCGGTCAATGAATCTCTGGTTGGGGATAAGGTTAGGTGGGTTTTCTCTTCAAGGAAAACCAACTCGGTGGCTCACTGGTTAGCCCATGTGGATTTGGGTTGGAATCAACAATAGGTGTGGGTGGATAATCCACCTATGTATCTTAGATGCCTAATTGAGGATGATGTGGGCCTTGGGACCAGAAGCTAGTAATAATATTCACCCGGCTTTTTATAAAAAAAAACTAATGTTATTGAGATATACAAATTCATACAGGGTGATCAAATCACCTAAAGAACACAAAAGGAACCCCCAACACCAAGTGGGGAACTCCATACATCCTCATACATGATACATACATTTCCTTTCTAAACCCTAATTAGACAACGTCCACATTAATCTTAAAAACACACATGCATATGATTAAAGATTAACCCACATGCAGGACCATTGGTTAATTTTTTTTTTTTTTTTTAGCAGTAGAGGAATTAAGCCACATGCACCCATGATCATTAATTTTATAACTAATCATCAATAAAATCTAACCAATCAATGAACCAATGATTACAGTACTGCTCATGCTCCGAAGTTCAGTACTACTACTGCTTTGCATTCTCCCCCGGCGGGATCAGTGGTTCCGTCTCCACCCGATCATCATCTCTAATGCACAGTATCGTCTCGTCAACGTCAACGTCAACCTTCTTGGTCTCCTTCCCTCCCACAAAATCAACGGCGGGCTCACACGGGGAAGCTGTAACCGGCAGCACAGGAACTTTTCCCACGACATCCGTCGACGACTTGGTCAGCTCCCTGGCGCGCTCCACCTGGTCCATCCAATCCGTCCGCCACAGAACCACCAGCATGAGCACGGCGCATGAGCCTTGCGCGGCAAGCAACCCGACCCACAGACCCGGAAACCCCATACCCGCCCCGAACCCGAGCGCGACCGCCACGGGCATCCCCACCAAATAAAACGACCCCAGATTGATGTTCGCCCCGACCGTCGGCCTCGCGCTCCCCCTCAGCACCCCGCAGCCCGTCGTCTGCGGGCAGTTGCCCAGCTCGCACAGCCCGGCAATGGGCAGCGCGATCGACGTCAGCTCCAGAATCTCCACGTCGGCAGTGAACATCCGGCCCCACTGCCACCTCATCAGCCCGGCAAACACCATCGCCACGACACCCAGCCCGGCCGCGCACACCATCGACACCATCATCGAAACCCGCGCCCGACCGGGCCGGTTCGCCCCGAGCTCGTTCCCGACCCGGGTGGAAACCCCGAGGCTCAAAGAAGAAGGGAAGACGTAGACCAACGACGTCGTCTGAATCAGAATCCCCATTGACGCCACCGTTGACTTTGGGTTGGGCAGCAGCCCGCAGAGGAGAATCATGAGCTCGTACCACCACCACTCCAAGCATACCGAAACGCACGTGGGGACCGCTAATCGTATTAGCGGTCCCCACCCTCTGAAAGAGTCGGGCCCCAGCGGGACCCAGGACTCTTTATAAACCCCCGAGAGGTAGACGAAGGAGCAGAGGAGGATGATGAGGTTGAGGTTCGTGACGACGGCGGCGGCGGCGACGCCGGCGATGCCGAGTTTGAAGTGGCCGACGAGGAGGAAGTTGAGGGGGAGGTGGAGGAGGAGGGAGGCGGCGGAGCAGGCGGCGAGGGGGAGGGTGACGCCCTGGGTGCGGAGGTAGATGCGGAGCGGGTGGAGGAAGGAGAGGAGGAAGAGGTCCGGGATGGAGGCGACGGCGAAGGTGGCGGCGGCGGCGGAGATGTTGGGGTCCTGGCCGCAGCGGAGGAGGATGGGCTCGATGTGGAGCCAGGCGAGGGAGATGGGGAGGGAGGCGGTGAGGAGGAGGAGGACGGTGCGGTGGAGGGTGAGCCCCAGGAGCTTCATCTGCTTGGCGCCGTAGGCCTGGCCGCAGATGGGCTCCATCCCCATGGCGAGGCCGGAGATGACGGAGTAGCCGGTGATGTTGGCGAAGCCGATGGCGAGGGAGCCGCCGGCGAGCTCCAGCTCCCCGAGGTAGCCGAGGAACAGCATGGATATCATGGCCCTGGAGTAGAGGATCAGCCCCGTTAGTGCGGTCGGGCCAGAGATTTTCCCCAGCGCTTTCATTTCCTCCACCACCTGCAAGGAATTTATTAACCAGGATTAGATAAGGAAATTACATCTTTTGGAAAACTAAATAGTAAATTAAGTGATGCATTATGTATATTTTGAGCCGACAGTAACCTACCTAACTATGTGTTTCCCATGCGGGTTTCATTTTTTCCCCCCTTATTTATTTATTTATGCATAAATAAATAACTTGTTAAGGAATTGATTTTGTGCGCGAGGCTATTGGTTGAACGGTGTGTCTTTCGTAATCTGTTAGTCGATAAACAATGACGACTAAAGATCGATAGATTTGTTGTATGTTGAAAGCGACGTTTGTGGTCATTATCGAGGAGATGAGATTTTGTACTTGGTGTTCAGATTGTTACCTCAGAAGGAGTTGGCCATCTATGAAGGAGTTTCTCTTGATCTGGATCTTGGAGATTTGGCTGTTGTTGTTGTTGTTGTTGTTGTTGAGGATGGAGAAGTTTAGAATGTGGATGAGGATCCATGGACTTGGTGGTGGTGGTGGTTGGGAGGATGACTGAAGGAGGAGAGGATGGTTTTGGGTTACACATGAAGGATGCCAACACTATGAACCCTCCAAAAACAATGAAGCAAGAAGAAGAGAAGAAGATCAAATGCGGCTGAGTACCAAGAGAGAACAAGAGCAACTAGGTAGGGTTAAAGCAAATTTGGGAATTGAATAGGATGGTGAAGAAGAAGAAGAGGTGAGTGGATTGAGCCTGGTGGTAAGTTTTGTAAAGAGGAAAGAGTATAATGTGTGAAGGGGGAATTGGGAAAACATGAGTTTTGATATTGGAAGAGAAAGGGGGAACGTAACGGGGTTTATATAGACAGCGAGGGAGAGAGTCGGAAAGCGTAGTACGTAAGTGGGACCTTTAGCAAACACAAACGTGTCAACTTTTGGCAAAACAAATATTGTGTCATTTGTTATGGAGTAAAATACATTCAAAAGTGTCATTTTTCGTAGAATCATTTTTAAAATTTACAAGCGTAAAAGTATAAATTTTAAAATATTAATTTGACAACATTAATTAGAAAAATCACAATTCTGCGTAAAAGCTAATTAAGTTATTAGTATAAAAAATTAGTGATTTGATATTTGTGTTATCAGTCTGTGCTTTTTAACTTCTAAAGCTAGAGTGTGTGGGCCGTGCGTCCTCTTGCATTTAAGCTTGCTCTAGTCTCTTTTTCTGGGTTTGCGTTACGATCGAAATGCTTGAGCCTTGAGAGCATTTGTAGTTGTGGGTAGGGCTGGCTATTTGGACCGGGACCGGATGAAAAATCGAAAATCGGACCGTATAACCCGGATCGAGACCGGACCGGGACAGGATAGTAAACAATCCAATTCAATCTTTGGGCTTAAATTTGAGGTAAAAAACCGGATAAGAGAGCTCAACACCCAAAACTTAAGGGCAATTTGCATAAACGGTCACAAACCTTTGCACTTAGTACAAAACTTAACCAACTCCTCACCTTTTTAGGCCTTAGGCCACTCAAATTCCCACAATCTCAATATAAAATCGAGACCAAATTGGGACCGGACCGGGTCAAGACCGGACTGTATCCAATCCAATCTTCGGTCCTTATATTTTCAAAAAAACCGAACTGGACCGGATCAATTTGGGCCAATTTAACCGGACCGGACCGTATAACCACCCCTAGTTGTGGGCCGTTTAGTTTTGCCACAATATATACTAGTTTATAAATATTATAATTGTCATCAAGAGGTATATGTACCCACGATAGAACATATTGGAGGGGTGATTTGAGTTTGGGAAAGAACAGAATCCCACCGAGGAGTCCCTTTCTGTTTTTGGGGTTCGCACTTAAAAGGCCGCACAAGCGAGCCCATAAAGTGCTATTTTCCCCCATTTTGTAGTAATATATAAGATATATATTAATTCATTTATAATCAAGCGGACTAGAATGTTTTAGGGAAATTATATGTTAAAACTTGGGACCTCCAACCAAGGATTCAAGTTATTGTAACGGGACCTTTTTGACCTGTATAACAGGTTTAACATGTTGTATTACGTAAATCTAATGTTTATTATATATGCAATAGTTATTTAATGCTTGTTAATCTTATATAACAGTTATAGAATGATGTGATATAAAGTTTTCATAATGATTTGACAGTTTATATAACATAAGGATAATATTCATTAGGTGAAATGATCATCCATTACGTAAGGTTTCCATAATGTCATTTTATGACGGTTGCATAAAATACAAGTTCATTACGTAAAAAAGGCTTTCATAATGACATTTTAGAATGATAGTAGTTTCTTATAGGGCTGGAAGTTTGGTACCGGTATTTGGGATATACCGAATACCGTACCGAATTTGTCTATATTTGGTATTACCGAATACACGTATTATTTCTTGGGATTGGGATTGAGATTCAATTTCAATTGTTATTCGGTATTAGGGATTACGGGATTGGGATCGGTATATACCGAAATACCGAACAATACCGAAATATAAGCTAGTGTGTATTTTATCCTCTCAACTAGACTCTCTCATTCACTACTACACTACCCTTAACCACCAATATATTGTTATTTTCATAACATCTAAAAGCAAACACTAGTATTAGTCTTCTCTCAGCCTCCAATTCGTCAAATTAAAGATTACCAATGAAAAAAACTTGAGATGCCACCTCTACTCCATTCTCCTTATCCATATCCTAGCTCTAGCCAAACTCAAAATTATTTGTTTAGTCTTTTTGACCTATATTAAACAATCAAATCTAATTTATATATTTAATTATTAATTATAAAGGTAATTAATTTCGTATTCGATAATACCGAATGGGATACCAAAGTACCGATTGGGATACCGAAATATTTAAGGATTGGGATTGGGATACCGAAATTATTTAGGGATTGGGATTGGGATTGATTCTAGGGTGTAATTCGGTATTCGGGATTTCGGTATTTGGTATTGGGATACCGATACCGTACCGATTTCCACCCCTAGACTTTCTTACATAACGCTTAATCTGGAAGCACTACATAAGGCTTCCGTAATTACTTAACGCATTATGTAACTTTGATTAGTATTCATCACATAAAAGGACCGTCCATTACGTAAGATTTCCGTAATGACACTTTACAACAGCTATGCAAAATATACATCTATTACGTAAAGGTTCCGAAATAACAGGTATTTCTTACCTAATAGTTAAATTCGAAGCGTTACATAAGGGTCTTGTGTTTGACATGATATCAGAGTCTTCTGTAACCTAGAGGTCTTGTGTTTGAATCCCCATGGCCCCCATTTGTTAAGCACGTGGTATCTGGACCTGTGCAAATTTCAAGCCCTTAAGAGTAGTTTTCGTTTGAGGGGGCGTGTTAGTATGTGATATAAGATCTATTGTGAAACCTCTCCCAACAACTCTAGTTATTGTGATCAACTAGTTCTTGACAAAGCGAAACCGCACATTCTTTTTCCAATTTTATAGTAGTATAAGATATAATTCAATTTATAACCAAGTGGATTATAATTGCTTTAGAGAAATTACATGTTAAAGCTTGACGAGTTTGTATCTTAGGTTTATGAGTAAAGACGGAGTGAAAGACTTTCTTTACTTGCTTTCATGTGTTTGTCAACTATTCGCTAAATTTAAAACTTACTTTAAATTATTCATAAAAAAAAAAAACTTACTTTACATTATAGTCCTCTTTCACTACTGATCAAAGTGAAGAATTCACCTTATCATAAATGAAATATGAGGTTGAGTTGCAATTTCTTGGGTTTTGATGTCTTTGTGTTCCTTTAATTTGTTTGTTAATTAATTAACAAACCGCCTCAGTGTTACTAGCCATATGTTTGCCCCATTACACAAGTTTGTTGTTTGTGGTGTTGTTGGGTAAAATTAATGGGGAAGTGGGTGGTGGGTTTATCATGGAAATGTATGTAGAGAGAGTAACACGCGCCTAGCTAGCTTTCCCTTTTTTATCTCTTGCATATGTTGGGTACATAATCATGGATAATGTTATAAATGGGGTAGAGACCAAACAAACAACACCTTCTCCACTTTATTTCTGTTTGGTGTTTGGTGGGTATGTGTAGAAAAAGGGGATAAAGAAGAGCATATCTTGGGAGTGCCAAGTGGATGGGATATGTATGGTTTGGAAGCAACATGCATGAGAAACCAAATTTTTTTGAAAGAAAGCAAGAAAGAGAGGTGAAATCTATGATGGTGGTGATGGGCATTTTGATATTTTGCCTGCTGGTTGTGGGCAGGAGAGGGGATATATGTTTGCATGTTCTAAGGCAGGAAGAGCATTTGCTGCAGAGCCATGCATATTGGGATGGTGATGAGAAAAAAGAGAGAAAAAGAGTATCTTTTATTATCATTTGCAGATCAGCAGGAAACAAAAAACAAAAACTCCCCATGTGAATGAATGTCTTCATGGATACCACTTTTGTACAACCCAAACAAGGCAAACAAAGTGATTGTATGGATGGAGGGAGATACCCATATTATTATCCTTTCCTCCCAAATATGTTTGCTTCACTCCCCTCATCATACCAATAGACTACAAGTTTAATCAAGTGGTTGTTTAGTTTCAAATACCACTATGGAACATTGTTGTCCATGGTATATGGTCTTCTTTTTACACTCTAGTCCTGATATTGTTAAAATATTTAAATTGTTACTATTGAACCCTCAAACCTTTTAGTTAGTGAGACACTATTATATCATATCAAGAACCAATTCGTTTAAATAGGTAGCTTGAGATATTGGAAAGATATTCTATAATACACTTTATATAGTTATATATCATTCTCTAGTTATGCTACTGCGTTTATAAAAAAAAATATATATGAATTTGTACAAAAATCATTTAAGCCTTACTTATTTGGAACATTTAAGGTTCAAACTTTATGGTTTAGTGCCTATACCATAAACTCAAACCTTAGATAATTCAAACGTAAAATGATTTGAGAAACCAGTGTTGCAAACTTGCAATCCCTTCCAAGTTGAGCAGAAGAAGGCTAGAAGCTAGCAGCAATATTGGCCCAAGCTTGTATAGCAAGTGCCAAAAGATTGGTCAGTCAAGTTGCATTATATATGCAGTCGGCCAGGCTCTAGCTACCACTCAAAATGCAAAATTGAGACGCATTTTTTTCTTTTCTTCTTTCACCCTGAACGTCTCTTTTTGATTAGTCTGGGAGAACCCACATGCATGAGACTGAGAGCATAGATATAGGAGGAGCTTTTCTTGACCACCGATCTGCCAAACATTGTAGGCGACCAGAGACCAGGCTCGTGTAACTTTCTGAATCAGCTGCTTCTCTCTCGTTCCAGGCCCCATATATGTCTGTCTCGTCTATCTCCATTTTCACCCTTCATTTCAATGGTGTAGTAGGGAAGGAGGAGTGTTTCATCAGCTTAGGGTAGCCTAGGCAAAGAGCAAATAATGGTACGTAGTAGCAAAAGATATATATATGGATAGGGAGGGAAGCTCCCACTTATTGCATGCTTTTCTGTGTTTTGGGAGTTGGCTTCATAATGCATCACACAACAACAAGAAGTCATATCATGTTGCCGAATTTCCTTGTCCGGAGAGTGGGTATATAACTATCTGTTA